ACCAGCATATGATCCCACTCCTGGGCATATACCTGGAGAAAACTGTAATTCAAAAAGCTACATGCACCCCAATGTTCATAGCAGCACTATTTACAATAGTCAAGACATGGAAACAATCTAAATGTCCATCAACAGATGACTGAACAAAGAAGATGTGGTATATATACACAATGGAATATTACTCAGCCATAAAAAAGAATGAAATGCCATTTGCAGCAACATGGATGGACCAAGAGATTATACTAAGTGAATTAAGTCAGACAAAGATAAATATATGGTATCACTTAAATGTAGAATCTTAAAAATGATACAAATGAATGTATTTACAAAACAGAAACAGACTTACAGACATAGAAAACAAACTTATGGTTACCAAAGGGGAAAGGTGAGGGAGGGAGGGATAAGTCAGGAGTTTGAGATTAGCAGATACACACTGCCATATATAAAACAGATAAACAAGGTCCTACTGTATAGCACAGGGAACCACATTCAATATCCTATAATGAACCATAATGGAAAAAGAATATGAAACAGAATATATACATGTATAACAGAATCACTTTGCTGTACACCAGAAACACATCATTGTAAGTCAACTATACTTCAATTAAAAAGAATTCCCCCTGCTCTGACTCCACTTGAAAGTTCACCAAAGACCCCTGATACACTAGCCTGGAAGTGGCTGGTTCCTTTACACACTCCCACACCTTCTCTGCTCCACCCAAAAGTGCTGGCACTCCCAGGCTCCTGGCTGGGCTTCTAGGGCCAGATGGAATTCCACAGCGAAAATGATGGTCTGCTAAGAGCTGTGTGTGTGGACAGAAGAGCAGGAAGTATGAGTGGGATGCTATAAACACCATCTCAGGGGAGCCTCCAACCCGGGAAGTCGGACCTCCTCTCTTAGAGAGCAAGAGCTGATCAATCACAGCGCTTGGATTCCTACTTAGGATTTTTCTTTTCCATTACCCTGCCCACAGGCCCCTCTCTTGTAGGCTGAGCTGCAGGGACTATCTTTTCAGTGCAAAGAAGAGAGCTTCTGCCCACTCTTTAAGATACAGTGATAGCCTTCAGACCATACTGGGCCATCACTGCTAGGGGCAGTCTTCATCGTTGTCCCCATCCGACACTGAGGAAATGTTAATTAACCCTGAGCCCAGGCCTTCCCTCAAGTGGAAGGGACCTAGTGTTACCAGCAGAGGGAGCCAGCACCTCATGAAAGGAGCTGGCTTTCTTGAGACCCGATCTTCTTCAGAGACGTTAAGGCCACCACTCCCTTCCCTAAAGATCACACACACACACACAGACACACACACACCCCCTTTCCCCAGGAAGAAAAGCTGAGTCAGTTCCCCTATTTGCGGCAGGGAGTGAGGCAGGTGTCAGGAGGTTAAAGGGTCTACAACACAGCCCAGTGTTATAACTCCTCCCTGACCTCCCCACCTACCAGCCTACCAAACAGCTGGTTTCCCCTATACTGGGGAGAAAAGATGTCATAGGGACAAAGGTCTTCCAGGCGCAGTTTAGGACATGGCTCTTTGAGCCCTGACCTCCAACTTCTTCCTCTTCTTCCTTCCCCTCAAAGGTCAACCTTACAGACACCCCAGATGACCTGTCCTAACTACAACCCCAGAAGTGTACCTGCTTTTAGGAAGCCCCTGGCCCTCCTGTGTATAGATCCTCCAGCTTTCCCCTTTGAACCATCTGGAGTTCAGGATTCCCAACTCGACAGGCCCAGGGCAGGGTGGCGCGTGCTTGGGGACAGCTCTGTACCAGCTGAGATCGGACTGCAGCTCCACAAGGTCCTAGGTTGGTCCTGTGACCTTAACAAGTCACTCAGCCACCTCCAACCTGTTTCCTTATCTGCTAGTTCTTGGTCTATTTACTTCACCAAGCTGTTAGAGATGAAACAAGATAGTGTTTGTAAAAATGGTTTCAGGAAGTCTAAAGTATTGCAAAAGTATGAGGAAGACCAGAACTGCAGTTCTCAGAGCTTGAGGATTGAGTGTTTGGATCAAAACTGGAAGGTCCCTCATCTTTGTTCTAAAATCAGTCGGCATGGAAGTTGCTCGCAGACCATGTCCCCCACCCATCAACAGGGAAAGCATCCCACTGTTTCTTGCTGGAGATCTTTCCCTAAAGGTCTCTGCCTCCTTTTGCAACAAAATGACCCAGATGCTGCAGGTGGCAGCTCCATCTTGGGTTTCAGTGCAGGTTTATTTCAATTTTATATTTTATTCCAGGCAAGTGCTTATTACATGGATAGTATTCATGTCTCAATACCTAAAATCCTGGAGCATGAACAGCCACTAGAATACAGTTCAATAGTAAAAATACAATATGTACAAAATTAGGGTTTTTGTAGTTTTTTTTTGTTTTGTTTTTTCCCACACAGCAGATGTATCCAAACACATAAAAATCTCTACAGTCTGGGGTCGCTACGATTTATATTTCTGGAAACGGAGACACAGTGACCGAGTCCTCACTGTAAACAAGGGCCACCTCTTTGGGGGATGGGGGTGGGACCCTGGAATTGGGGGAGAAGAAGCTGTTCCTGGAGAGGGCAGGGGTTACGGTGACCCCCATAACCCCTCCAGGAATTCCCTGCCCTTCTTTGGCCCTCCAAGGAACCAACCTCTCCCTCTCCCCGAGGTAAGGACTCCCAGCCAGTGAGCCACTCTGAACATCAAAAAGTAAAACACGCATGAGAGGTAAGATGTGTGTGTGTGTATGTGTGCACACGTGCGCACCCCAGGCTGGAGGGGCTGGGGAGGGGAGGGGCAGGCGGTCCCACGGGGCGAGGACGGACTGGTCCTGACAGCTCTCAGAGGGGAGATGCCCAAGGAAGGGCTGGGCGGCGGCTGCCCTCTCAGGCACACAGCATCACAGCGTTCACGAACGACAACAGAAACAACAGCAACAACACCCATTGTCACCAATCTGGACATAGTCATTCGGCACTAGGTTCCGGGGCCCCCACTGCTGCAGTGGGGGCGGGGAGGGGCAGGGGCAGCGGGCAGATGAGGTATCTGTGCAGGCCCGAGGGGCGACTGGCTAATAGGACAGTTTCAACTCTGGAACGGCCTCAGGACACAAGCTGAGCGGAGCTGGGAGGAGGGCAGGCTCACCAGTGCTTCTGTTCCTGGGGGCCAGGCCGGCCTGTCTCCCTCTGTTCTTTCCAACTTAATCACACCTGGAGGAGCCAAACCAGCTCCCCCCAAAACAGGGTGGTGGGGGTGGCTGCAGGCACAGGAAGGCGGCAAGCTTGTGAGGTGGGGGGTGGGGGTGGGGCGGCAGTACAGGGCCCCCTTCTAGAAACCTCTAAGGTGTCCACAGGCCTTCTCTTTCCCCACCCTGGGAGACAAGGGAGAAGAAAAGGTCCCCAGGCAGATCTCCGGGGCTAGGAAGGAACTGAGAGGGAGTTCTCAGGCAGCTCCATCTATTCAAGACCTTTGCCAGCCTCCTCAGGGTCCCCCACAACACTCCCTACTCTCAGCCTGTCCATGCACACCTCACACCTAGGAACACTGGCTTCCCCTCGCCCGCCCCGCGCCACACACTCTCAAAGGCCATTGGTGAGTGTGTGTCCAGGTGCAGAGCCGAGTGTGCACATGTGTAACTGAGTGTGTCTGTCACAAGGCCACTTGTAATAAATACCCACATAAAGAGAGAAGCCAAAGCAGTCTGCCAACACAGAGGCAGGAAAAGCAGCGTCCCCTACACACAGGCCCCCTCACTCCACCCCACCCCAAGCTCAGCCCTGCCCTGAGCCCAACTAAGGACCTTTCCTCACAGGAAGGCTGTGGCAGACGACAGTCCCCACCAGGGAGGGCCCCCTCAGCACAGCTCACTGGAGAAGAGGGCATGTTCAGGGGAAAGAGGATGCCAGAGGGAGAAGCTGGGGCAGAAGCAGCAGTCCTCCATGGCCCGGCCCTGCTCTCTCTCCACAGGTCCCCCTGGCCAGGCCTGGGTTTTAACTTATTACCTTGACAGCATGGCTTCAGGCTCCTGGAACCCAGCCCAGACACTGGTCCATCCTCCAGGCAGCAGGAGGCATCCAGGTGTACTCATCCCTCCAGGGAGTACATGGCACTGAGCAGAGGCCAGACCTCCTCTCTACCTTCTGGAAGCCAAGAGCCAAGTCCAGGGGTGGGGACAGGGTCCAGAGCACTCTACTCTCAGGCCAGACCCAGCTCGAGGTCGGGGGGCAGGGGGAGACAGCCAAGCCCCTCCTTCCCCACCCCTACCCCCAGCCACCCTCTGGGCATAAGACACCCATTGGCAAGGGTTGGAGGGGCTCAGAAAGCTTGGCAAGGGCTTGGGTTTAGTCTTCTGTTGGTAGAGAACTGTCTTAACTAGCTCACTGTAATGAGTCACGGTGACTGCAACTAGGCTGGAGGGCCCCAGGCTAGGGCATCCACCTGTCTGGAGTCTGTGGGACTCCAGATCAGCCGGAGCCTAAGATCTGTCACCTGTACTCAGAACAGGACCCCCTGCAGTCCCCAGCTTTCCAGGCCAAGTTGCTTCAGTTTTGCTTTCCCTCTTTCCCCTCCAGGGCCTGGGAAGAGAAGGCTGAGGCTCAGGAGGGGAGGGCCCGGGTGCTCAGCCACCTCACCAGACGGAGCAATAGCAGCAGCAGCACAGGAAGGCGGGCAGGGCAGGGGGAAGTGGGGGAACACGGTGTCCACATCGCACTGGGTTGGGGACGGGTCGGGAGCAGGAACGGCACAGGAGCTGGCACCAGGCCGGACAGGCAGCACGTTCGCCAGAGTGTCTCTCATCACTCTGTCAAGTCCTAGTGCGTGGGGTAACCCCCTGCCCTGTGCCCAGCTCCCCAGGGTGGCCCTTCCCTCCCCTGGCTCAGAGTCTCTGCACCCCCTTCCCCTAGGAGGCCTGGGGGTGGGTATGGGTGGGGCGGGCCTGGGCCTGACTGGAATGTGTGGAGCTGGTGGGTGGGAGAGTGGGGGACAGGTCTCCCTCCCTGCCCCCACTGGGGGCCTCTGAGTGGCCTCATCCTCAAGCCAGCTTGAGCGTGCTGACTGGGAAGGAGGGCATGGTGACCATGGTCACAGGGTTAAGCACTGTCTGGCCCACCAGCTGGGGGTGGTGCACCACCTGGGCCCCCACGGCTGGCTTCGCCATGACAGTGGCTGGGGGCCCCAGCCCGGCTGTGCCGTTCACTTGCTGGTGTGAGAGGGTGTGGGCGATGTGGCTAACCGCCACAGGCTGGCTCACCGCCACAGGCTGAGGGTACAGGGGCAGCTGGGAGCCAAGGTGGGCCACATGGTTGAGGGTGGCAGGGTGCACTGTGATGTGGCCAATGGGGGGTGTGGCAGGTGCCAGCTGCACAGCAGGGCTGGGGGCCGAGGGGGCGATGTGGGCGATGTGCTTCCCACCCGGCCCCTGTAGAACATGGTTCACAGTCTGGATGACTGAGGCGTGGGTGGTGGCAGTGTGGGCGATGACCGTGGAGCCTCCCCCAGCTGCAGCCACCAGATGGGCTGGAGCAGGCACCAGCGTCTGGGCAGGGGCAGCTGGTTGGGGAGGAGGGGCCGGCAGAGGTGTCTTCTGCTGTGGCGGCGGCTGCTGCCCAGGGAGGTGGGCAGGAGACAGGGCCACAGGCTGGGAGTGGGGGTGTGAGTGGGGAGGCTGAGGTGTGGGGGCAGTGCTGGGCGGTGGCTTTGGCAGCTCCGGGTGGGGGCGATGGCTCAGCTTAGGTGGGCCCAGGCCGGCCTGGTCTTCCTCCATATCCTCGTCTATGTTGTCCTCACCCTCTGTGGGGGTTGCGGGGATAGGGACAGGTCAGAAGGGCTGACAGCCCTGGAGGTCTAGGGACATTTTGGGGCCAGGGTCGGGGTGGGATGGGCATCTTTTCTAGCAGGCAAAGGCCTCGCCAGGGAGGCTGGCATTTAAGAGGCAGGGGAGATACGCGGCGGGCAGTGGGCTGGGCTCACCGGAGGCAGTGGAGGTGGAGGCCTGGTCGTCCTCGGGCTGGCCTGTCTGCCGGAGCACACGGTCGATCTCCAGCACGTCCATCCACTGGCTCAGTTCGTGCTTGAGCTCCGCCAGCCGCTGCTGCGTGGCAATCTTCTCCCGCGCCAGCCGCTCCATCTCATGCTCGTATTCCTTCTCCTTCCTCTTCAGGGACTGGAGAACAGGGATGTAACAGGAGGACACCCTGAGCAGCAGCCACGGGGCCCATGGCACTGCAAACATCTCCCCTAGCCACCCTCACCTCCAGGTCCTCAGCGACATGTCTGCAGTGACCGGGGCCCAGGCTGATGGGGGCTGCTGGAGACCACACCTGCCTCCTGGTCCATGGCTTTGCCTCTGGAGGCCCAGCAGCCCAGGGACCACATGCTCTCAGGCAGGCAAAGATCCAGGCCAGGCCCTCCCCATCCCCACATCATCTCTGTCCTGCGGGGCTTCGCCACCTCTTGCCACACCCACCCTCCTGGCAGCATCTCCCTCCATTCTGCAGAGAAGGGAAGAAAGGGTAATAGATTTCTCAAGTGGTGCCCAAGGCTCCAACGCCATTCACACCATCCCATCGCTTACTGATGCCACAAGCTGCCCATCTTGGAACCCAGTCCCTAAAGAACCCAGAACAATCCTGATCCTGCCCTTCTCTCTCCTTCCTCATTCACTAGTCTCCTTAACTTTAATATCCTTGGAGGATGATCCACCAGACTTTGCGACCCACCATCTCATCTCCTTGACCTTGTTCATCTTGTCTCTGGCTGCGTACCCCTCTCCAACCTCCTGGACTGCTACCCCGCTGGTGCCCACCTGTGTGTCTCTCCACACTGCTCCAAGCCCTGGAATGTGCCCCTCCTCCCACACCTGGACCTGAACTGCACCAGTCAATGAGAAATGACTCCAGGGTGGATAGCACCACTGCCTCCACCTGAGCACCCCGGAGAGGCTCTATCCTTTCCCAAAGGTTTCAAGTGGCTCCTCCCCCATAACACTGAGGCAACCCACGTCACTAGGAACACTGGGAGAGAGGGCCCTCATCTGGGAGGCCATCTCCCCTCTCAACTCCTCCAGGGTCACAGGTAATCCAGCACCTCCTAGGTCAACCCTGGTTCAGCAGGTGCTGGAAACCCCCCTGCCCAGACCTGTGACGATGCTCCCATCAGAAGGGCCTCCAGTTTCCCTTCACACAAGGGTTATTAGCAGCTCTGAAAAGCCAGCTCATGTCCTATTTCTCAGCTCCGTTCCACAATGAAAGTCTCTCCTGTCCTTTGTGACCTCCTGACCCTGACACTTTATTAAATCAACTTAAATTTGGCAGGCCTCCCTGTTGCCGGCTTCTCCTCAAGCCAGGCACGTCATGACTGTGGGTCCACGAGACAACATGAACAATTCTGTCCCGCTGCCCCAAGTCTCTTACCTGACCTGCTCCTGAGCTTCTAGCTCCCAAGGCTTGCCAGTCATGGCCAGGTGTAGGCAGAACCCTCTGGCTCACACACATACCCTTGTCACCCCTCCACGTCTTAGCTGCTCCTGCCCCAAGACCACTCTTGGGCCCCCTCCACAATCCATCCCCATCCCACGTCCTCCCAGTTTACCTTCCTGCCCTCAAGCCCTCTGGGCACCAGCATCACACCCGAGCTGCTAATGAGACTGTCAGGTAGCATTTAGACACTGTCTTATACAACCCTCCCTAAAACAAAAAACAGTTCACGTTTTATCTTTCCATCTCAACACTGTCCCTGTCCAACCCTATGAGTGAAAGCAAAGATTGTTCTATGGTTAGCTTACATCCCCTAACCCAACCAGTGGCCAGGACAGAGCCATGCATGATGTCTTACTCAGCCCCACGGGAAGGATCTGTGAGGATCCAAAGGTATCCGTCCCTACCTCTACCCTGTCTCTTTCCTTCATCACAGGAGAATCACAGTCACTCATTAGACTTGAGTCACCCCTAATCCCATTTCCTAGGGGGAGTTTTGCAGCAGCCTTTACTGACTCTTCACCTGCCCTCCTGGGCACAACATCAATTCCATATGCCAAGTAGGCCTAACTGCCCCCACTCCCTCCTGCAGCCCCACATTCCCTGCACTCCTGACCTCACCAGTCAAAGAAATGCTTCAAACCATAACCCAGACATGGCCGCACTCTGTACTGACCTGAAATCTGCCAGGGTCACACTTTTTATACTTATTGCCAGTCCCAGCCCACGCACAGCCCTCTCCATCATCCTGGCTTTGAGATAAACCTGCCTCTTCCCTTATTTCTACCAGAAAGATCCTCCTGCTGCCCTGATTTACACACACACACACACCGTCTGGGTTCTCACCTGGCTCTACCCTGAGGCCAGTGCTAGACATGACTTCAGACAGGGCCACATCAGTGATGGGGCCTGGTGAGTCAGCCCTTACTCCCTGGCTGCTAGAGGCTGGAAGCACCTGTCCTGAACTCGACCTGCTGGCAGGGAAATAGACTTCTCACTCAGAGAGAAAGGACATTGGGGGGTCAATACCTCCACTTCTCACCTAGTCCAGATCTCCACAGGCCTAGGGCCCCCTGGTAAGTTTTCACAGGGTCTAACTTTGCTCCCATTGCTTCATTTTAAACCCATTTCCTTTCTAAAACTACCTGGATATGTGGTTTTGTACCTGCCTCCTCCTCTTCCTGTGTCTGTCCACTTCACTGAGCCTTTCATCAAATCCTTTACCATCTCCAAGCCACTGTGGGTCTGGCTGGGGGCTGCAGCCTTCCCACAGCTTCCTGCCTCAGCACACAACAAAAGTCCTCAGTCTCCACACACCTAGATCCTTTCCAGTTCCCATCTAGTGCCCTGATGTCCCTACATCTGCACACCTACCCTCCTGACCATCTTCAGCTTAACATCCTGCTCTCTCCTGCTAGAGAAACTTTGGCACGCACTGGGCTCTCTGCCCTCCACTTGTTTCTGTCATCCTGACCTTCAGGTCCCAGCTCAAATCCCCTACCTCAGCTGCAACTTCCCTAACTCCCCAGAACAGATCTTGTGACCCCTGTCCCTATTACACCCTCGTGGCAGAGCCTTCTGTTTGGATGTTTTATAACCTGCAGCAAGACCAAACCTAAAGACAGAGACCCACATTTTCCTTTTATCCTCCCAGACACAGGGATGTCCAAAAGTACCTGAACGAATAAATGAATGAGAAAAATTGAGGATTTAGCGAGAGCCTTGTTTTCTACCATTTATGCTTCCATTGCCAGCCCCAGCCCACAAGTATCTCTTGTGGGCTACCTGGTTCCATCTTGCCTCCCACTCAGCCCAGGCCCATATCCCGAGTCTGCTGGTTCTACTGGGTCTCTTTTCCTAATTTACTTTCAAATCCACACGGCACGCAAGCCTTCTTACCCTAGGTATGTGTCTATTAGGAGGAACGTGTCATTCCATCTTTCCTACTTCTCAATAATTGCTATTAATATTTGTAGAGGTCCAAAACTCCACACATCTTTATGACGAAGCTACTATTACTTTTTCCCACTTAGCATCATGGCGGGTACAGAAGAGGAAATTGGATACTCAAAGAAAATGTCACAGCACTTGAACAGGTATTGCTCCCAGGCCATAAGACTTCCTATGACTGACCGACCAACAACTTAGACCAAAGCCCAAGTTCTGAAAAAACATCTGAAAAATAAGCCTCCCCAGGACCCTCGGAAACCCACGACCAGCCTCTCTCCTCCTCCTCTCCCGGCCATTCGGCCGCCATCGAGGCCCCGCCCCTCCAGGAGCACGCGCGCACCCACGCGGACCCGGCTTTGCTGCGTCACTCTCCGCCGGCCGCACCCTCCCTCCGCGCACGCAGGAGTGCCACCCCCCGCCCGGCTCCGCC